CGACTTGCAGTCTCAGTGTACTCCTGGATGATGATACCATGACCATTGGTATCATCATCCGGGGAGAATTGAACAACACCTAAAAGAGCAGAGGAATATTGAACAACACCTAAAAGACCATCTTTTAGGTGTTGTTCAATGTCCTTCTTTAAATGGAGTAATACAGGCGGAGACAATGATGCAGTCCAAATTCCTGCAGATATTTTCAAATTACCAATGTTGTGGAAAATGTGTTATGAAGCTAGTTAACATGTATCTCACTATATGGCTGCTCTTACTGGTCAGAAAACTAAAGGTCCAAGAAGGGCTCTTTATCTCAAGCTAAAGAACAATTGGCTTGAAATCTGGGAGAAAGTTAATGAAGTGAAATATTTATTTAAATTGGACTGGCAAAGAGATTATCTGAAGATTGGCTTCGTTCTTCACACTGTTGCAGAGGTATGGTGTTTTCTATAGAGGTATGGTGTATACTATCAGTAGTTGCATTAGTCAAAAAAAAAAACATTAAAAAAAAAAAACCTGGTGCCTGACATGAGGCAAGGTTTTAAGCAGATGTAATCTGCATCCTGATTCTTTATATGACCAAAGATATCAGTAATATCTTGACAGAAAAAGAAGTGCTGCAGTTGAAGGATGCAAGTTTGTTCATTGCAATTTGCTATGTTCCATGGTTTTTAAATTTTTTTTTAGGATTTCTGGCTCCCTACAATGATTGGAAAGTTATCCAGACAGCCTATGCATTTAGAAAAGTGAGTAAGAAGATTGGAAATGCTTTGCTTTTCAGCATGGGACGCTATATGGGTTACTTAACTCTGCAACTCTGTGTTTTGATCTTTTGGGGATAAAGAAGTTTCTTTTGAAACAATGCTAAAAATGCTGTTAGCTCTGATTGATTTTGAAGAGCCAAATCAATTTCAGCGTTGTAAACCATCAAATGTGCAAATTGGAGAGACCACAGAGTTACCTGAGTTAATTTCCGAGCAAAGCTAACTTCTCTTAAACATTTTAAAATATCAAGAGCAAGTATAAAAGAGTGGCTGAATAATAGTCTTAATACTATAGATGTTTTTAACCATCCTCAGTTGCTAGATTTTATTGTATGGATCAAAAACATATTTGTTGTAAATAATGGTGCAGAAAGAAACATTAAGCTTGTTAAAGATTTTATTTCAGCTTCTAAAGATGAAGATTACCTTCAAAATGTTTCTTTTGTAGTTAAAAAGGTCTAGATAAAACTTGACTAAGAAATGACCAAAAAGGAGCTTGGGTACTGTTCAAAAAGTTTTTTTGAGAAATGTTTCACTGCAATAAAATCTTTAATTTGCTAATTAATGTTAGTTTTTATGTATTTTTTTGTATTTTTATATTTATAATTATAAATTATCAAGTTAAATAGTAGCAAAAACAATTGGAAATAATTTATACGCATGTAATTGTTTTGTTTTAATTTTCTAAAATGTAAAAATTGTGTTTTCTGTTAATGTTAAAGTCAGCTTAACATTAAAACTGCAAAAACTCAGATTTTACATTTAGCATATATGTTTTTTTAAATACTTTATTTTATTCAAATATATTATATAAATATATTTTTTTTATAACATAGAGGAACAGGGGCTGTATTCCCAAACTCTGAAATTAATAATATTGTTGGTTAAAAAAGAAAACGTCATTATTTGTCTCTATATAAAATTTATTGTCCTTCCTCTTGTTTGGAAAACAGGGTCAAATAAAACTAATAGAAGATAGATAACATATGGAAACCATGCTCATATAGCTGAAACAGCTTTTAAATACTTTTTATTTTTAATACTGTGAAGCTTAATTATTAAAAGTATTTAAGCTTTTAAATACTTTTAATAATTAAAAATTTTTTTTGTTTAATTATTAAAAGTATTTAAAAATGGTTTTCCTGTCATTTCAGTGAAACAGACATCTAAATCAATTGTTAGACATCCAAATCACTCTAGCCTTCATTCAAAGAAATAACTTCATTCAAAGTACTTCATTCAAAGAAATAACTTCATTCAAAATACTCTAGCCTTCATTGCTAAAGTTATTTCTCTCGGTAACTCTTTTACTGCTTGTGATCCAAATAACATTCTTGTCATCGTTTTACAAAGTTTTCTTCTGAGGTCTTTTCAATACTTTCTAAACTATTAAACAAGTGATTAACTGAATCTTGTTTTTTTTTTCTGCTGGAAAATGGCATCTTTTCCAGCAGAAAACAATTTGTAAATAGTTCAGTATAATAGTATTTGTTCTTTTCAAACAACGGGTATTTCTCAAACTCGCTTTTCGCAGAAGGAAATAATAACTATATTATTGATCATAACAAAGTTAGACAAACACAAGAAAAAATTGGAAAAGAGTTGACTTCAAAACTCTAAAGTGAACTAAACAATAATGGTTTGAGTTGCATTCTTTTTGACGGTAGAAAAGATAACACCAAAGTCTTTTTTGATGTGGAAGGTAGGAAATTCCCAGGGCTAGTAATAGAAGAACATTATACTGTGTGCAGTGAACCTGGTGGAAATTATTTATTTCACTTTGTTCCTAAAGAATCGAATGTAAAAAAACCTGCAGAGAT